AGACAGACACACACACACACACACACACACACACACACACAGACACAGACACAGACACACTCACTCTCTCACACACACACACACACACACACACACACATACTCTCTCTCTCACACACACACAGAGACAAATTAAAATTTTTGTAATTGTGTATTCACTTTATATATACAGTACATATATAGAGAGAGAGAGAGAGAGAGAGAGAGAGAGAGGTTTATCCCAAGTCCATCCAGACGTAACTATGTTTACTTTTTTTTTTTTTAATGAAATATCTCATTTAAATCTAAGACATCTAATATACAAAAAAAAAACATAATGAGCTCATTATGTGACGTACCGAGGAACGTAAGTTCGTACGTCATAGTCACGTGGTAAGATTTGAACTCAAACCTGCACTCGCGCAACAACGCTGCTGTTAGCAAGCAACATTTCGGATATATTATTCAAGCGGACTGCGACGAAACAGGACTATTTGATGACTTTCGGAGGTATAGTCGTGATTTTTACAACTTGCACATGTATACCAGGCGCAAATATAATGTTTTGGCGGTTTGAACATGTTTTGCAAACAACTTGATTATTAATATTGATTTGGCTAATGCTCATCTAACGTTAATCTCATTTGGTAAGTGACTTTACTTTCTGTTTTAAAGATGTTTTCTCTGGGTTATTTGACTACTCGAAAGAGAATATAACTTAATTTGTGTTTCCTGCTAGCTAAATTTCACAGAAATAAACAAAAATCTGTCTCTTTTCTGTATTCAGACGTGATCTAGAGGAGTAGCTTGCATGGAAACTGTGTTTATCCTCTCTCTGTGTGTCCTCTTAAAGGGACAGTTCACCCAAAAATGAAAATGTCCTCATGATTTACTCACCCTCAAGCCATCCTAGATGTATATGCCTTTCTTCCTTCAGATGAATACAATCGGAGTTATATTAAATAATGTCCTGGCTCTTCCAAGCTTTATAATGGCAGTGAATGGGTGTTGAGATTCAATAGTCCCTTCGTAGGGGTGTGCGATATTGACACAATTATATCTCTATATTTTCTGGGATTTTATCGATAACTAGAGTATATTTTGCTGAGTGTGTTATTGTGCTGGTATCTTAAGCACTGCAGAAGACAGCTGACTCCTAATGTTTTTAATATTCTTCATATTCTGTGTGGTGGTCAGTTCATACTGATAGAAATTAATCTTTTCCAATAAGTTTAAACTGATTTTAGCATTTTATGGGCATTTTTACCTTTACAAAGCCATTTTTTCGAAAAGTTTTCATTATCTTTTGAGTCAAATTCTTACGTTTAATCAGCGAATTAGAATAATAAGACATTCGGGCTGTTAGCGAGCAAATTAAATCAACACAGAAACTGCATCTGAAGCTGCATTTAGATGCATTTACACACATGTATTTTGTTTAATGCAAGACATGAATGCATTTAACCTGCAATTACAAATGCATAAATAATGTTTTGATATATTAAACATAAAACATTGAATACTGATATTTGAAATGATTTAAAACGTGAAAAAAGCAAAGAAAGTAAAAGCCGGAATGTGAAATTAAAGCCGCCAGCAGGTGGCAGCAAAGCACTGTTAATAAGCGAGTCGCTGCGATTGAACCGAATCATTTAAACGAGTGATTCATTCAGGAACGAGACACCGTCGTGTTGCTCAGAGACACAAAACAGAGCTGTGGCTGTATTCGGGATGATTTTTGAGCAAAAATAATAAATAGTGCAAAAACAAGCAATATGGTGTTTAAAACGTAAGTCTCTTAAATAACTTATTGTTTATTGAATTCAATGTCACATTTGTAATCACGGTCATTTTTGGAGAAAACGGCACTCTTCGTGTGAAATTGAATAGCTATATGAAGTGGTATAAATATATAAATGTTCTGCCGTCACGTCTTGAATTTGTGATCTTTCTAAATGCATTTTAATCACGCAGTGAAAGAACACACACTATGTTTTGAATGGTTTTTGCTAAATACTCGATAATGTCAAATCGCACATCGTTAAAACAACAATTACGATATTATCGCAGACGATATTTATCGCACACCCCTAAATAGAAGTCCAAAAAACTGCGTCCATCCATCATAAAAAGTGCTCCACACGGCTCTGAGGGGTTAATAAAGGCCTCCTGAAGCAAGCCAATGCACTTTTGTAAGAAAAATATCCTGATTTAAAACCATAAACGTAATCTCTAGTTTCCGCCAACTGTCGTACGCGCGTGTACACGAGAGAGTGGCGTTCTGGTGGATGGCGTAGCACATAAGCGTAGCGTAATGTCCGGTGAGAATATGCTAAGTCTCGCGAGAACCAAGCTTTGTTTACAGGAGTAAAGGAGATTTGCTTCAGGAGGCCTTTATTAACCCCCTCCGTAGCCGTGTAGAGCACTTTTTATGATGGATGGACGCAGTTTATTGGACTATTGAATATCACCACCCATTCACTGCTATTATAAAGCTTGGAAGAGCCAGGACATTTTTTAATATAACTCCAGTTGTATTCGTCTGAAAGTCATATACACCTAAGATGGCTTGAGGGTGAGCAAATCATGGGGTCATTTTTGGGTGAACTGTCCCTTTAAGTTTTCATTATTATTATTATTATTTTTTTACCTGGGAATACATCCCAAATTAACCATGGTTTGCTAAAAAACAAACAAACATGGTGACTATTAGGGATGTAACGATTAACCGCGAGCCGGTTGAAAATCGATTAAAATATGTGACGATTCAAATCGGTTGAGATGCTTAACAAATCGCGAATCATTTAGAGGTAAGAGTTTATATGAATGCATGTCTGAGGGGAACGCACTGTCTTTAGAAAAGTTTAGATGGTAATTTTTCTTTTCCTCTTGCCTCTGTATAATGCATATTAAAGTTCATAAGCGCAGCGCTGCTTTGTTTACAGCCGAAACCAGGAAAGGCTTTAAGCGCCACCTGCTGGCGGAGAGTGAATCTGCGTTTCGTTCAGCTCGTCGGCTGTTTCGGTTTCATGCAGATATTTTTATTTATAGCTTCACAAAACTGAAGTCAAACCATTCTGTTTTTGCTTCAAATTTCGAAATTATGCAATCTAATTTAGTTTATAAACTGCTCGTGTTGCATGTATTCTGAAGGATCATGTGACTGGAGTAATGCTGCTAAAGCTCTGCTTTGAAATCACAGGAATAAATTATATTTTCACATAGAAAACAGTTATTTTAAATAGTAAAAATATTTCAAAATGTTACCGTTTTGCTGTATTTTGGATCAAATAAATGCAGGCTTGCTGAGCAGCAGAAAATTCTTTAAAAAACATTAAAAATCTTACTGTTCAACAACTTTTGACTGGTATGTTAGCCTATAGTTTGAAGTAAAAAAATATTAATATTAATAAGGAGAGTCTGAGATTTATTTGACAGTGATTTCACATTTCTTGTTTGTATGAAGGCTAAATACCAATAAAAGGTGAACATTTATTTATTTGCGCCATTGTTTTCCTAAAATATTATATAGTTTTATAGGAGTAGGTTTCATAGAGTTGGCAAATTAATTTTTCATAAGTTTGTAGTTACAGACATCTGTCGTGGCCGTTCTTGGCCTAGGCTTTTTTAATAGTGTTCATATCGATATCGGAATTATATCGTATCGACCGAAATTAAGAAATATATCGTGATATAAATTTTGGCCGTATCGTCCAGCCCTAGTTGCCTCTCATTTTAAATGTTAAGAGCACAAGACAAAGCCTTAGTTTGTTTGTATGAAGAGATTTATTTTATTTGTGTTACTTATTTATTTGATTTGGGGCTTGTTTTAAAATTTCAATTTAGTTTTGTTATTTACATTTACATTATATTTAAATTTTGTAATTTAGCAGACGCTTTTATCCAAAGCGACTAACAAATGAGGACAACAGAAGCGATCAAAACCAACACAAGAGCAATGATATGCGAGTGCTATATTAGTATATTATTAAAGCGTTATATTTCAATTTCACAAAGAAATGTGCAGCATAATTTGTCTTAAATCTCACAAAAAACATGGGTACTACACTTATATTATAGCAAAACCGTGGTGGATTAAGGGATTTGTGTATTCTTTATTTTTTGTTTTTAAAAACTGTAAGCCAACTGCCTTAATGATTTGATGTTTTGTACTGTTTAATAAAAAAAATCACAAAAAATGATTTGCGAGACGCGCACCGAAGTCCCGATCTGATTCAAATGATTCTTTTGATAACATTTAACACAAATCTATGAACATTTAACCGCTAACTACTCAATGTAAAAAGAGCAAACAGAAGAGCAACAAAGTTAAAGAGGGTGAACGTTATCATTCAGCTGATTTCAGATGCACTTACATATTCATATATTTAATTATTTGATCAAAATTGTTGCTATAGGGACAATTTAGGATATGGTCTCTGGATATTGGTGAGGACTTGTCGTAGCATCTCTACTAAACTCTACACCCTTGGATTAAATCACAGGTAACATCGCTCAGGATGGCTTTAGGGTTTGAAAAATCGAATTGCTTGAAGATGGATGAACTGTCGCCTCACGTTTGGAGGTAAGAAATTAATGCTAAATCTCATCAATACCGTTATGTTTTTATTGTTGCAAATGACTTTTAAAGTGTCGTCTTAACTCTACGTTTGTATAATTCAAACTGGTCTAAACCAAACATAAGGCTATAATGAAGTTAAAGAATAAGTGTAGTGTAAATACTATTTAATTCTGTTAAATATCTAACTAATTTTGTACATGTCTCCCTAATTTGAGCACCCCTATTTGCAAATATTATCCATTGACTGCTAGCTAGATTACAGCTCTGGAAAATCTGGCTACATTGGAACTGACATTCCAGCTAACAGAGAACCTTCGGGTAACATTCCTGCAACGTTCTCTCAAAGTTATTTGAGTAACGTTCGTAGAATGTTCGTTTAGAGTTCTCTGGTATTTAATAATGTTTTCAATGTTAGCACAAAAACAATTTGAACATTGTTCATGAAACTTGTTTTCCATATTTAGTTGGACGTTAGTATATCTTTTTTTTTTAAGTGTTATTACTTGTTTCAGAACGTTCAGAGAACGTACAAAACTAATGTTCCCACAATTTTTCTAAAATGATAAAATGGAATGTTCCCTTAAAGGGATAGTTCACCCAAAAATGAGTTGATGGTAGCCATTAGGGCCTTTCGCACCGCGGGAACCTTTTCATAGTGCCAGAACTAATTGTGGAACTACCCACTTTTCGGCGTGTTCGCACCGCCGGAACTGGGAGCATTTTTAGTACCGGACTGCCTTTTTCAAGAACCAAATTAGCTCCTACTCCGGAGCAGGGTCTAACCAGCACAACTGGTACTAATCGTGACGTAAGTAGACATTGATTGGCCAAACGTGTATGAAAACGCCCTCACCCGCCATGATTTAAAATGCCGTGTAAACATACTGTAAACACTGTGTCAACTTATTTCGCAAGTATGGAGAACAGCAATAGATGGACGGACGCTGAAGTGCAGGCACTTGCAGCAAATGTAGCACTGCCAGTTGTCGTTGGAGATTCTTAGTCCTCCTTTCCGTTCTTTCAATCGCTTTACGCATACGTCGACTTTCCATGTCCATTATTGTGAAACCCGCGAGACACAACAAACACACAGCTCCGATCACAGCGTCCTCCATCCTCCTGTTGTTAATGTTGTTCTTCTTTGTTTCTGTTGTTGAACGCCACGCACAAATGACGTCGCTGTCGACCGGCTTACGTTACTTCTTAGTACACACTCTCGGTGCGAATGCAACCCTTTAAATAGTACTGGGAAATAGTTTACACAAAATCGTCCCAGTACTGGAACTAAAGCGGTGCGAAAGGCCCTATTGGCTACCATAGTATTTTTCCCATACTATGGAAGTCAATGGCTACCGTCAGATATTTGGTTACCAACATTCTTCAAAATATCAGCTTTTGTGTTTAGCAGAAGAAAGAAACTTATACAGGTTTGGAACGACTTGAGGGTGAGTAAATGATGACAGAATTAGCATTTTTGGGGGAAACTATCCCTTTAACGTTTGCATACCTCAAAAAATACATTTTTAAAAACATTATATAACTGGGCGTTTTGAACTTTCAGAGAACATTCAGAAATAACGTTTTCATAACGTAATGGGAAAATGCTTTTAGAACAAATTTTGGTTAGCTGGGATATAACTAGTACTAAAGGGATAGTTCACCCAAAAATGAAAATTACCCCATAATTTACTCACCCTCAAGCCATCCTAGGTGTATATATAAAAAAAAATATCCGGGCTCTTCCAAGCTTTATAATGGCAGTGAATGGATATTATAGTCCAAAAGAAGTCCAATAAAGCGCATCCATCCATCATAAAAAGTGTCCCACACGGCTCCGGGGCTGAATAAAGGCCTCCTGAAGCAAATCGTTGCGTTTTTGTAAGAAATAAATCCATATTTAAAACTTTGTAAACCGTAATCTCTAGCTTCCGCTAATTGTCGTACGCGCGTTCATTCCGGCGGATGACGTAGGATGTAGCGTAAGCTCCGGTGAGAAGTGCCGAATGCAGAAGCGCAGCGGAGAGAGCAAAACAAAACACCGGTCACTAATTAGAAGCACAAAACGAGGATTTGTAAAGAAATATTTTGGAGGATTTCTATATAAGCCAAGAGGAGACTGGTTTTCTTTTGCTAAAGTAAGGAAACTTTGTTTCCTTTGCTCCTGTAAACAAAACTTGGTTCTCGCGAGACGAGCGTATTCTCACCGGACCTTACGCTACGCTTGCTACATTTTTGGGTGAACTATCCCTTTAATGGGCCAAATGGACACGCCTATTGGCTCTTAATGGCCAAATATCATTCCATATATTGGTCTGTGACTATTTAATTTGTTCTCCTCATGTTTTGTAATTGTGACATTTTGCCATCCACCGAAGCACTCCAGGCATCCCACTGGAGACTGCGGCCCCGTCCCAGAGGAGCCAGGCTCCGGAGGAACTCGCGTCCCAGCAGGAGGGTGACGTGCAGATCATGTACTGTAAAGATCAGGTGTATCAGGGAGATGCAGAGTTCAGTCTGGAAGAGCTCCGAGCGCAGCGCTACTACAAAGCATTGAGCGGTATGTTTGATAGAGCTAAAATTAAAACAAATGAATAAAAACTATATAGACATATATTTAAAAAAATAAATAAATAAAAAATGATGAAAACACAACCAAATTACTAAAACTTAAAATCAAAAGAAAAAATTTATTTAAATAAATAAAAATACAATTCTAAATATTAATAAAAGACTATATTCATATCTCTCTAAACTAAAATAATGCTGTCTTGGTCTTATCTTGCATATTTTTGCTTAAGATGTTAAAAGACTAGTATTGTAGTATCAATGAAAATGTGAGATCCAAAGTACAGCAAAAACAGTAAAATGTTGAAATATTTTTACTATTTAAAATTGCTTTTTATTTGAATAGATTTTAAAGTGTAATGTATTTCTGTGATGCGCAGCTGTATTTCCAGCATCATTACTCCAGTCTTCAGTGCCACATGATCTTCAGAAATCAGTATAATATGCTGATAAACATTTTTTAATATTATCAATATTTAAAACCATTGAGCACACTTTTTTTCAGGATTCTTTGATGAATAGAAAGATCCAAAGATCAGCATTTATCTGAAATAAAAAGCTTTTGTAATATACACTATTCCATTCAAAAGCTTGGAGTCAGTATAATTTTTATTATTTTTTTTGGGAAAGAAATTATAGAAATTAATACTTTTATTTAGCAAGGATGCTTAAAATTGATCAAAAGTGATGATAAAGGCATTTATAATGTTACAAAAGATTTCTATTTCAGATTAATAGTGTTCATATCGATATTGGAATTATATCGTATCGACCGAAATTAAGAAATATATTGTGATATAAATTTTGGCCATATCGTCCAGCCATATTAAAAAATATATATATTTAATTTAACATTTATTTTATTTCAAGTAACAATTTGTTATGGTTGTAGTTTTAGTTAATATTAATAATCCTGGATCAGACCATATAGCCATTTAAATTAGTTTTTCATGACTTTGTGAATGTACAGAAAAGGCCTCGCACCTGAACAAACTAAAGCAGGACCTGCAGCTTCAGATTGAGCAGAAAAAGAGACTCATTCAGCAAAGAAACGGCACAGCAGAGAAACAGCAGGTACGTCATCCGTTATACTCGATGTCTGAGGTTGTGATTCAGAGACATGAGGGTGAGCAAATGAAGACCGAAATTGTCTCCAGCAATTTTTTGGTAAACTATACCTTTAAAAGCATGTTTTGGATATTTAAAATGAACTTCCAGACACAACCATCATCAAATATTGACATCAGGTTCTTGTTTTAACAGTGTGCGTTTATTCGTTTGGCTAGATTGTTCATGAGGAGGCCAGTTCTTCCTTCCAGAAATCTTCAGGTTCATGTGAATCTGCCGCTGCTGTGGTGAAATCGGCTCCGTTCAGCATATACAGTGAGCAGGAGGAAGGCTGTGTGGTGAGCAGGTCAGTTCTGCAATAGACAGCGCTTGTCTTGGATTAGATTAAGGTGTTTGCATTGAACATTTTCACTTCTTTTTGCATGTTTTTTCTCTCCTTTCATTCAGTAAAAGTTCAGTGAGGCGAGAGGATGACATGAATCACAGTGAGTTGTTGTTTTTCCCCAGTTACACCTGTAATAGTCATTTATTAGGCATTAATTTGATTAATAAAAACTCGTCTGAGTGTAGCCACTGATATTGCATGAAGTGAATAGTTTTGCAGTTCTTACTATGGTGAAATAAACCACATGCATGTGATTGATTGTGATTGTTTGTGATGATTTTGATTGCTTGTGGTGATTGTGATTGCTTGTGGTGATTGTGATGATTTTGACTGATTGTGATGATTTTGACTGCTTGTGATGATTTTGACTGCTTGTGATGATTTTGACTGCTTGTGATGATTTTGATTGTTTGTGATGATTTTGATTGATTTTGACTGATTGTTTGGGATGATTTTGATTGTGGTGATTTTGACTGATTGTGATGATTTTCATTGTTTGTGATGATTTTGACTTTGGGATTGTGATGTTTGGGATGATTGATTGTGATTGATTGTGATGATTGATTGTTTGTGGTGATTGATTGTTTGTGATGATTGATTGTTTGTGGTGATTGTGATTGTAAAGATTGTGATGTTTGTGATTGTAAAGATTGTGATGTTTGTGATTGTAAAGATTGTGATGTTTGTGATTGGTGGTGATGTTTGTGATTGATTGTGATGTTTGTAAAGATTGTAATGTTTGTGATTATTGTGATGTGTTAATTATTTGATGATTGTGATGTTTGTTATTGTTTGCGGTGATTGATTGGGTTTGTGATGATTGTGATTGTAAAAATTGTGATGTTTGTGATTGTGATTGTTTGTGATGATTGTGATTGTAAGTATTGTGATGATTGATTGTTTGTGATGTTTGTGATTGTGGTGATGTTTGTGATTGTGGTGATGTTTGTGATTGTGGTGATGTTTGTGATTGATTGTGATGTTTGTGATTGATTGTGATGTTTGTGATTTATTGTGATGTGTTAATTATTTGATGATTGTGATTGTTTGTGATGGATTGTGTTTGTGATGATTGTGATGTTTGTGATTGATTGTGTTTGTGATGATTGTGATTGTAAATATTGTGATGTTTGTGATTGTTTGTGGTGATTGTGATGTTTGTGATTGATTGTGATTGTTTGTGGTGATTGTGATTGTAAGTATTGTGATGTTTGTGTTTGTGGTGATTGTGATGATTGTAATTGTTTGATTGTGATTGTTTGTGATGATTGATTGTGATGTTTGTGATTGATTGTGATTGTGATGTTTGTGATTGATTGTGATGTTTGTGATTGTAAATATTGTGATTGTGATGTTTGTGATTATTTGATGTTTGTGATTGTGATGTTTGTGATGTGTTTGTTATTATTTGATGTTTGTGATTGTTTGATGATTGTGATGTGTTTGTTATTATTTTATGATTGTGTTGTGTTTGTGATTATTTGATGATTGTGATGTGTTTGTTATTATTTGATGATTGTGATGTGTTTGTTATTATTTGATGATTGTGATGTTTGTGAGTGTTTGTAAAGATTGTGATGTTTGTGTTTGTTTGTGATGATTGTGATGTTTGTGCGTTTCAGATGGAAGCGACGCTAAACTGCAGAAAACAGCAAAACCTTTCAGTGTTTTTGATGAGAATACATTGACAAATAAAACGTAAGAGACACTCGATTGCTTTTTTTTTTGTTAGTTTAATTCTGTTGTTCTTTCTTTTTCCTCCTTCCATTCTTTCTCTTTCTTGGTTTCATTCATTATTTTTTGTTCTTTTAGTCTTTTTCTTTCACTTGTTTTCTTTCCTCCTTTCTTTTTCTTTCATTCATTCTTTCCTCCTTTCTTTCTTTCATTCCACCTTTCACTCTTTCATTTGTTCTCTTTTTGTTCGTTCTTTATCGTTTGTTTGTTCCCTTTCTTTCCTTTTATTCTGTCTTTCTTTCTTTTTGTTTGTTTCTTTCCTCCTTCCTTTTGTTATCTATCGTTCTTTTTCATTCTCTTTTTTTGTTCGTTTTCTTTCTTTCTTTCACTTTTTCCTC